TATATATATATTATCCTGGGTAAAATGTTGGGTGAAAATGGGCAATAGAAGAGCTGAATTTACACAATGCACCAAGGTATGATTTGCTTAGGCGTGGTTTATATACTACGAACAAGTTCAAATAATATCTATTCATCCATCCACCCATACAGCATCATTTATGAACAACAATTAGGCTTAGCATGTTGTATAAATTCAACTTTAGAATATTATTAAATATTTTATTATTTTTTATTTATGGGAGTGCTCCATCTGTAGCCTCCATGTTATATGGAGGGGTCCAGTCTCCAGGTGCTGCCCCCATAGAACGTCCCAGTTCCTTCTCCAGTGGCTTTTCAGGGCATGAATGGAAGGCTCTCTCGGAGAGTTGGGTGCTTGCCATTCAGAGGGTGAAGATCCTGGGTGGATGGATAATGATGATTTATTAGTCTGGTCTAGGTCCATATTTTACTAAGAGTGTGCCAGAAAGCGGCTAGGTTCAATCAACAACGCTAATGCAAAATAGCTTGGCATCATTATGTAGCCACAGCCCTTAATAATGTATTCACTAAATCATATGAAGCCCCCAAGGCTCTGTCATAAATTCCTTGCCTTTGTGCCCTAATGGGAAAGAGCCAATTTGGTATAGCGGTTAAGGCTCTGGATTAGAATCCGGGAGACCGTGAATTCTAGTCCTCCCTTAGCCACAAAAGCTGGTGGGGTGACTTTGGCCAGTTGCTCTTTCTTGGCCCAACCCACCTCACACAGTTGTTGGGGGAGAAAAAGGAGGGAGGAGTATTACATTCTATAAAATAAAGGTGGGATATAAATCTAATGAAAAAATAAATTCCTTGTATAGTAGGCTCTAAAAGAAAGTCCCTGAAGTAAATGCTGAAAGACTCTGAAAGTCAGTGCTGAGAATAACCAATCTAGTATAGGGGCCCTAAAAGAAGAGAGCTGGTTAGAGACTCTCAGCTGATTGGCAGGTGTCCCTCCACAATTAGAAGGCCCACACGAGGTAGCAAGAAGAAGAAAGAGAGAGTTAGAACCAACTTGAAAGAGACAAACTTGCAGAGGGAAAAGAAAGAGGCTGAGCCAGATGGAAGAAGGAATGGTACTTGAAAAGGGGTAGGAACAGAGGAGTCATTTCTGGCGGGAAAACAAAACCAGGACCAAACTAAAAGCTGGGGAGGAACCCCTGGAGGACATCATGATGTGAGCAAGATCTGTTGGAGAATGGAGAGTTGCTGAATGTGGGTGGGGTGTATTGTGTGTGCGGAGGGATGTCAGAGTTAATAAACCCAGGACTGGAGAGGAAATGAATTCCACAAAACTCCCCCAGGTCCAAAACTACCAGGGAGGGGTGTCCCTGGACACCTGAAAGTTGGGAGTGTTGCTACACACAAGGTTAGGTAAACATGTATAAGCACAGAGAGTCTGAAGGGATCCACCAAATGAAAGGCATTCCATGATTAAAGCCAAATTCAGCTCTCCTTCATTCAAGCTGGCCAAGAAATTGAAGGGCATTATTTTGATACACAATTTTATATTCTATATATATACAATTTTATATATGCTTCACACAATGTTTAACCATACCTGTAACAGTGCACTCTAT